GGAAGGAAGGAAGGAAGGAAGGAAGGAAGGAAGGAAGGAAGGAAGGAAGGAAGGAAGGAAAGAAGGAAGGCTACGTAAGTATAACATGTACCCAGCAAAGCACAAAGATCTTCATATATGCCTAAATGGACCTTGTAAGCACCATGCAAATGAACTATGAAGTACTTCTAGGCACACCAGAAGCTTCTCCTTGAGCAATTTTAATGCCATGCCACACACAGGGCTGTGGGCTAGATCTGTTTTACACACATGCTGTGACCACATCTCAATGGTCTGTGCTGGGATGACATTGGACATGGTGCAAAGGCTGCTGTGCAAGAGACAAGCACACAGTAGACACAGGCAAGGCTGGATGCTACTTGTTTGACCATTACCAACTATAGTCACAGGCTGTCTCCTCATCTATACAAGGATAAAAACATTATCTGCCCACAAGGGAATGCCAAGGATCCAAGAGAACAGTACAAGCCAAGAGGCTCAGCACCTGTTTTGTGCTATAGAATATGTAACTTTATATAACATTATAAGGAAAGTATAAAATAAATGTCTTATTACCCAGATAATTTAAAGTGGTACTGAGTAAGCAGAGAGTGGCCCTGTGTATTCCATGTCTACAAAAAATACCTAAGACACAGAAAGAAGGACTGCAAGACCCACAGCACCCAACATGGCCTGAGAGAGAACACTTGCCAGAATCTCCAAAAAGGTCATCTTGCCTTGAAAACTTGTAGAAAGGAATGAGGAATCCAGCAGGGGACATGCCATGAACCATACGAGGAAGGAACATCCACCTTCCTTCCCACTGTCTTCAACAAGCAACCTTGACTGCTGGACTGCTAACTTTCAATACCCATTAAATTACAAAATAACAAAATTCTTGTCTCACAAATTCAAATAAGGAAATGTTTCTCATAGACCAATCCCACTTCAAATAAAGAAGTATTTCAACCCCACTCTCTGAGGGTTTCTGGACAAGTTAAAACTGTAATCCTAGCTATTCAGAAGACCAAGTCCTGAGGATCACGGTTCAAAGCTAGTCAGGGCACGAAAGTCCTTGAAATTCTTATCTCCAATTAACCACCAAAAAACCGTAAGTGGAGATGTAACTCAAGCAACAGAGCACTATCCTTGAGCACAAAAGTTCAGGGATATTACTCAGGCCCTTAGTTCAAGCCTCAGTGCTCACACAAAAATTATAAGTAAAACCCTGCTGGTTCATATCCTACACCATCCTATACCATTAGTACAAATCCTAAAAGGGAGTGATATGAAAAGCATCCCCTCCAGCAGCCTTGACTGAGCCACCATGACTGTCCAGGGTCAGAGTGATAGACAAAGACCAGTCCACCAAAACACAGCCAAGTATGTTCAATCTCTGCATCTAGCAGAGAAAAGCTAGTCATCGTTGAGTATGTTTAATCCAGGTACAAGTCTAGTCATATTCACTCGGGAATTAGATGAGAAGCCACATATTTTGCTTTTGTTCCAATTAGCTTGAGGTCTCATTGGATCCCTCTCTCCATGAACTCACTGAGATTAAAATATTCCACCATCTAACCTGATCCAAAGGGAGCACTCCTGATTCTGAGAGTAGGATATGAAAGGAGAAACAAAGTCTGTCTGGGAAGAAAAGAAACAGCAGAGACATATGATCTATTTCTTCCTTTTACCTAAGTAATACACAACAAAGAGATGGCCCAGCCCAGTGTCCTTATAACAACATGCTGGGCAAACATACTCATAGTGATTACTAGGAAGAGAATACTTAATTACTGGATACCTTCAGAAGATTATTTACTACAAAGTCTGGAATTCCTATACTATGAGGCACAATCCTTTAAGAATATCATAAGTTACATAATTACCAGAGAGAAATGGACATGTTTTATGAATAAGTGGCTTTCTGTGTGTAAGCAATGATCTGCATGTATCATTCCTGCTAAACCCAGGCCAAGGTATATACCAACTCACAACACACAAAGACCTCTGTGTGCTCCCTTCACCTGTGTCTTAACTATGCCCTCAAAAGCCTTAGTGAATTGTGATACTGGGTAAGATCTCCTACTCTTGTGTACTTGATGTGACCCTTCATCTCCCAGTAAATGTCTATCCATCTACAGTCATTCACAATCACCATAAACTTTGGAGCTGCCCTAACAAGTTAGGAAGATTCTTTTCAACTCCACTGCACAGAATGTAAGTCAGCTATCCAGAATTCATTGGCTCACTTCTCCTTCTTTTCTTTCCTCTTCCTCCTCCTTCTCCTTCAGTCTATCTTAATGATGCCTAGAACAGAAACATGTATCTTACCACCTCTTCCAAGCCATCTTTAGTCACACAAAGATGTCCATTTCTCTTAGTGATAATATCAAATACATATTGAATGAGTGAAGTAAAAGGCTTGTTATTTTGTTCAGATATTTTTGTCTAAAAATACCAACCTTCATACCAAAAGCAGACAAACACCTAAATTAAGCATGCCAAAATGACAATTAGGTTGTTACATAAGCAATGTATTGTAAGTCATCAATAATCACCTACTAGCACAAAAAAATAAGTTGCTCCTAATGATCAACTCTTACCCTGATATTGTGCCATATCTTTCGACCACAGGGTCTCCGTTCCATACTGAGTTTCATCATATAAAAACTTAACTTCTGTGGCCCCAGCATCTTCAGCATTCTGAATTAGTTCCTAACCATGAAATACACCAAAAAGAATTATATTTAATAATACAGTATCTTCATTGTATCATTGTATACTAAAAAGTAAATATACTAAAATCCCAGAAACAACCCATCATCACTTTCATCTCTAGTCACTGCTGATTACCAATAACAGTATGGCCAATAAGGCCTTCCCCAATTAAAATGCCTGAAATTCACCTGTAAGTCATTCTCACTTAGGTTCTAAATACAAATTCCAGGACTACTTACAACTCTGTCTCTCATTTACCATTTTTCCTTTGTTCTAAAGACATTGCCATTTTCAAAATATGCACATATTCTCTATAGGAGATACCTTCAAGCTGCAGCAATTCCCAAAAATAAACATCAGTTCTCATTTGCTTATCAAACTTACCTGCTTTAAAAAGAAAAAAAGGAACTATTTAGTATCATCTGTATGTACTCTTAATAAGCTGCATTCTTGAAAGCTAGTCATGCACTCATCATTCTGGATTAAGCAGAAAGCCTGATAATGACTAAGACTGACTTATGTTTTCCTTTTGTGGTACTGGTCCTGGGGCTTGAACTCAGGCCCAGGGTGCTGTCCTGAGCTTTTTTCCTCAAAGTAAACGCTCTACACCACTTGAGCCACAGCTCTACTCTACTTGAGCTCTACGTGTAGTTTTTTGCTTGCTTACTGGAGATAAGAATGTCATAGACTGGGGCTGGGAAGGTGGCTCAGTGGTAGAGCGCTTGCCTTGCATGCTCAAGACCCTGGGTTCGATTCCTCAGCACCACATAAGCAAACAGAAAAAAGCTGGAAGTGGCGCTGTGGCTCAAGTGGTAGAGCGCTAGCCTTGAGCTGAAGAGCTGAGGGACAGCGCCCAGGCCCAGAGTTCAGGCCCCATGACCGGACCCAAAAAAAAAAAAAAAAAGAATGTCATAGACTCTTGCTATTGTTTCTAACATATTTATAATGTACCACGTGATTTTTTTGTTTCTTTGTATGTTCCTTCCCCATGGTATAACCCCTGTTTTCACTGTATTTGATGTTGGTGCTCTGCATCTTGTATTTATACTTCTCTAATTCGGGGAGGGGAAGGGGAAAAAATAAAATGCTTAAGTAGGGATACAGGTTGACCCACTGCAACAATGAGATGTTATAAAACACTGTGTTGACTTTACAACTTTGGTGAGAGGGGGAGGGAGTAGTTGTGGATGTTGGGGAGGGAAGGGATTGTAGGGGAAAAACAAAGAAGGCAACAATGCTCAATAGGAAATGTACTCATTACCTTACTAATGTAACTGTAACCCCTCTGTACAGTATTTTTACAATAAAAAACATACAAAAAAAAAAAGAATGTCATAGACTCGCCTGCCTGAGCTGGCTTTGAACTAGGATTCTTAAGAGTTCAACTTCCTGAGTAGCTAGGATTACAGGTGTGAGCCGCCAGTGCCTGGCTTAGTCCTTTCTTAAAGGAGGGAGTGAGCCAGGCACTGGTGACTCACGCCTGCAATCCTAGTTACTCAAGAGGCTGAGATCTAAGTATCTCAGTTCAAAGCCAGACAAATCTAAGAGACTCATCTCCAATTAACCAGCAAAAAAGCAGAAAGTGGAGCTATGGCTCAAATGGTAAAAGTGCTAGTTATGAGTCCAAAAGCCAAGCAATAGTGTGAGACCCCAAGTTCAAGTCCTTGTATTCACATAAAAAAAGAGTGACAGGATTTGTGTGATGGGTGGTGGGTAAGTGAATGGATGGCCAAACATCTGTCATGTAAAAATAAAAGAGTAAAACTTAACATTTATATTCAGCAGTTACTGCTTGGTATAAATCTCTAACCCTGAGCACCAAAAAAAAAAAAAATGTCTATTTGTCCACTGGAAGGGAGCTCCAGAGGTAAATAGCTGAACCCATCACCAGAACTTGAAGTAAACTCCATACATTACCACCTGCTTATTCTCCAGATTTTTTTCTTAAATAAGGAAAAAAATCAATAGCTGGTCATTTTAGAAATGAGCTCTGATTCAGACCAAACCAAACTGAGGGCTAATGTTTTAAATGGATGTGTGTTTGGAGACAAAACAAATCACCCTGCATAAGAAAACTCATGAACCTCCAAACTTGGGAGTAAGGAACCTTTTTACCTTCTCAGAACCTGGGGATCACTATTCTGGAGGTAAGTATGACTAGAGGCTAAAGCCAGCTTATACTATACCTCCATCAGAGCACATTTCAAGGTCCATATGATGTGAAACCACTGAAAGGAGACTCTAGGACTGGCACAGAATAAAAAAGCTAGGTATGGGGAAAGGATTCAGTTCAGAGAGGACACCCAAAAGCTGGTGTCCAAACCTAACAGCTATTCAACCCAAATATAAACATCTGAACCAATCATGCAACTCTTCTACTGCTTCCTTATCAGTTACTGCCTATTTACACCCTATTTCTCCCAGCATCTTTAATTTTATTTGGGGCAATGAACTCAAGGATTTGTGTTTGCAAGGAAACTAACTCCCACTTGAGCCACATTTCCAGATCTTTTTCTCTGATTACTTTTGACATAGGGTCCTGAGTTTTGCATATGTCAGCTTTAGTCCCCAATGATCTTATTTATACCTACAACCATAACAGAGGTGTCAAATACCAACCACCACACCAAAGCATTTTATCTACTTGATGGAGTCTTGAAAAGTTTTTGGCCCAGGCTAGTTTGGAACCACAATCCTCTTGATCTCAGCCTCCCATAGTTAAGATAATGGGCTCATAATTTCACATCCAGCTATTGATGGCAATGGGTCTCAAGAACTTTTCAGCCGGGTTGGCCTTGAACTATGATCTGTCTGACCTCTGCCTCCTGGATACCTAAAATTACAGGTGTGAGCAGTGGCACCTGGCTGGATCTTTACTTTGTTAATTAAGTTTGTTAATTTGTTAATTTGTATAATAGCAAGCTTATTTACATTCGAATTTTATGAAATAACACTGATCACTAGATAAGTAGGTAAAACAAAACTTTATCTTATGATAAAAATAACAATTTAGAGGCTAGATCTGGATTTCATTCAGATTTACGTATATTTTAGGAAGCAGAGATGGAACAAAATATCTTTAAGTTCCAAGCTCCAACTATCAATCACAAGTTATATGAAAAGCAGGATGGGAAGCTTTCCCAGGTGTAATCTACAGGGGATCACTTTCAAATTGATCTGGGAAGCAGCATCATGTATTTCCCAATTACTTTTGGGCAAGTCCCTAAAACAACGGGACTGGTTCCAATTAGTTAGTTAGTTAGTTCCATTAACCTCACAAAAAATGGTAAGTGGAAATACAGGGGATTCCTAACATCCTTATTAAATCTAGCACTGAGTGTCAAGGAACAAAGACTCTTCTGAGCTCACTGCCAAATACACACATACATAACAAGCAAAGCGGACTAACCACCAGCTACCTGCCAGACTTTACTGAAACCTCTCCTTGTTTCCCAGTGAGAGTCCCACTCACTCACTTCCTTTTTCTTTTTCTTTTTTATTATTTTTATAAAAGTGATGTACACAGGAGTTACAGTTAGATAAGTCAGTAATCCAGTATACTTCTTTTTGGACAATGTCACCCCTTCCCTCCCTCTCTTTCCCAGTTTTTTCCTCCAATTCCCACTCACAAGTTGTATAGTTCATTTGCAAAATAGTGTCCAGTGAGTACCACTGCTGCATGTGTTCACCCTCTGTCCCTCAATTTCTGTGCCCCCCTACCCTTCCAAAGACAGATAAACAAGACAAAAGAAAACTAAAACAACAAATCCATGTATTTATTCACTTTTATATCAATGAGATCCAATTCCTATAGCCAAATGAACCCTCATTCTGAATTCATTCTGCTTACTTCTCCCCACCCCTATGACAACACCCAAACCATCCACTTCTCATAATAATAAATCGACACAAAAATACAAGAGGTGACACTATTCAAAAAGAAATGTACTCATTGCCTGACCTATGTTAACTGTAACCTCTCTGTACATCACCTTTAAATAAAAATAAATAATTTTTTTTAACAAATGAACCTTCAGGTATCTATGCTAAACTCATCTCAGGATAGTCACTAGGTCACAAGCTTCACACAGAGCCTATCCATGCATCACCACATGTGTTAAACACCCAGTCCCCATCCTGTAAAAGTTCATCATTAGACAATGAAGTGAGGGCTAAGATACTAAAGACAATACTAAACAAGTGAATAAGAAGGAAAATGCATATTACTGACTTACTTTTACAATTCATTAAGGAAGTACCTTATCGTACATAACCTAATTGTTGACAAATCTTCTTTTACTGCTTCCTGGTTGCTCAGGTATCAGTTTTTTGTTTGTTTATAATAAGTATACTCAAACTAAGTGAATATATCATATGTGTATAACAATGTGACAATGAAACCACCTTGTAACAATTAATGCTAATAATAAAAAAAACTTTCTCAAATAATTTCTTTCATTTTAATGCCAGTCCTGGAACTTCAACTCAGAATGAGTACTGTTCCTAAGCTTTTTTGCTCAACGCTAGGACTCTACAATTTGAGCCACAGCTCCACTTCCAGCTTTTTGGTGGTTAAGTGGAGATAACAATCTCATAGACTTTCCTGGCCAGGCTGACTTGAACTATAATCCTCAGATCTTAGCCTCCTGAGAAGCTAGAATTACAGGCATCAGCCACTGGCCCCCAGCTAATTTAAAGAGTCATAAAAAGGGGTTTTAATTCATTATGTCAGTTTATGTGTGCAATGCATCTTTATCAGTGTCATTCTTTCTCTCACTCTCTGCCAACTACTATCCCAACCCCATCTATCCTCTCAAGTTTCTTAGTTCCATTTTCACAGACCAAAAGTCAGGGAGTCAAATGGGCTCTGGCTCCTGGCCTCTGATACAGCCTTTCTATTGGTTCAGTTGGCTGGATTTCTATTGGTCAGTTGATAAGTGAGACCCACAGTGCTCTACATAACCAGTCCTAGAGCAACAAACTAGATGACAGCACACAGCAGCTTGTGCATTCCTGGATTAACACTGACTTCAGTGGTAAGCCCACCCCACCCAGCCAATCACTGCAGTCATGGAAGGACACAAATGCATTCAAATCTAGACAGAGCTTGACAATGCAAACACTAAAAAGATTCCCAAGTAATTTTACTTCTCATCTTTATTAACTGCAGTTCCATGTAAATACAGAACATACCTACCTTAAGGATCTGCCCTCCTTCTGGGTATCTTCTCAAGATGTCCTTGAGAAAGTCAACCAGTGGAGGCGTTGTCTGACCAAACCGACCTGAAACACAGAAATTCTTTGAAATTATTTAGGAGAAAAATCCAATGGTTTACTATCTATGTGATTTCTTCTACCTCTCGACAAAACTGTACAAGTTAAGGTTTCATGTATCTCATTATAGGGCCTGGTACAAAAAAATCTTACCTGATCAAGTGCTGGTGGCTCACACCTATAATCCTAGCTACTCAGGAAGCTGAGATTTGAAGATTACTATTCAAAGCCAGCCCAGGCAGAAAAGTCTGTGAGATTATCTCTAATAAATTACCAAAAGCTAGAAGAGGAGCTGTGGCTCAAATGATAGAGTGCTAACCTCAATCAAAAGAAGCTAAAGGACAATACAGAGGCCTTGAGCTCAAGCCCCAGGAACCCATCACCCCCACCCTCACGCAGACACATACACAAATCTTTCCTGTTTATGGAATTTTATCAAATCTCAAGATTTTTCATTTAACTGGATTACAAATGAAGTTTCAAAAAATTCAAAACTATACTTCTACAAAAGGTTATTGATTGAAAAACAAATAGCATGGAAGTAGAAGTGCTGTTACTTTCCAAAACAAATTAAATAAATGGTGCTTGTAGGTGCTGTGCCAGCTAATAATAAGCCAAAGATGTTGGTGCTCCCATACTCTATAAAAAAAAAAAAACAGGATTCTGCTGGCTCTGAAATTCAGTGGTCCCATCTCAATGGCTCCCTAGTTTAGGTACTTATCTTAAGCCTTGCATACACTAGGAAATTCTTAAACTGGCCAGGTCACAACATGGGTGACAGGAGGAACACCATTTTTAAAGTAATCTGTGATTAAAACCACAATTGTCTCTATCTTTCAACTAGTTAATGGACCAGAAGTGCTTCTGAAGTCAGAGTGTTTCAGATTTGGAATATCTACATATGGTTCCAACATGGCCTTCATGTGTGGATCATCTTCACTTTCTTAAACACATGGCCTCATGGTAATGTTATATGTTTAGTATGCATAGGTTCTGACTGTGAACTGGAACACAAACTCAAATGTGGAATTTTCAATTTGTGCCATCAAGCCAGCACTCAACAAATTTTGGATTTGGGACAGTTTGTATTACTGATGCTTAATGTGGATAAATTAATTTATAGTTTTTTTGTGTTTGTTTTGTTTTGTTTTTTTGTCAGTCGTGAGTCTTGAACTCTGGGCCTAGGCACTGTCTCTCAGCTCTTCAGTTCAAGGTGAGCGCTCTACCCCTTGAGCCACAGCGCCACTTCCAGCTTTTTCTGCTTATGTGGTGCTGAGGAATCGAACCCAGGGCCTCATGTATGCGAGGCAAGCACTCTACTAAGCCACCTTCCCAGGCCCATATATAGTTTTAGTAAAACTATCTAAGAGCAAGACTACTCCCAAACTTCTCACCTAACTAGTCCATGACTTGTATTTCCTCTAAACTGAGAACCCCATCAAATCCCTCATCTGCTTCCTTTTATTTCACTCTGAAAACATGATCTTTGTAAAAACTGCATTACTGATATATGACTGACAATCAAAAACCTACTGAATATACACAGGATGAATATGGAAATAAGTACACAGCCATCTTACTGCTACCATCACCCCCCTTTATGTTAGGAATTCTGAGCTCCTTTCTTAATAAAATTTTAAGCATACAATCCAGTACTGTTAAGCATAACTAGGTCCTGTAGTGCCGGGAGATCTCATTTGTTTTGCAAAACTGAAGCTCTGTGCTTTGACCAACACCTCCTAATTTCTTCCCAGCCCTTGACAATCATGCTCTTCTCTGCTCTGTATTAAAACACATTCATCGTGCAACTAAATATGAATGTATTCCTGGAAAATTCAACATTGTACCTCCTCCTTTCAAGCCTTTTGGTTGAAGGCTGACAAAAAGTTGACCATTTCTGGAAGTCAAATCTCCAATCTTGATCCAGTCAGACAACTGAAAAAAAGGACATAAAACACATGAAAAGCAACGTTATCTCTAGAACTATGAAAAAACATGTCCACTCAATGTTTGTCAACCACTCTTACCAGGAAATAAATTGTTCTAAAAAGGTGACTATTCCAGAGGACAGAAAAAGCCAGTCAACATCATTATTTAGACATTTCAAAGACTTAAACTTTAAAGATGAAAGGATTTTTCTTTAAGTAACTACAAATAAAGATTCATGAATTTCTGCTATAACGTAATTCTCTTGTGTGTGTTATGTGTGGTTCTGGGACTGGAACCCAGAGACTTACATTCTCAACCCAAAAATCACATTTGGATCATTAATGTAAGAAAAGATATTTGTGCTTGCTTTGAGCAGAAAAAGCCAAGCAAGATCAAGAAGCCCTGAGTTCAAGTCCCAGTACCAAAAGCCGGACACCAGTGTCTCACTCCTGTAATCCTAACTACTCAAGAGGCTGAGATCTGAAAATCATAAAGCTAGTTCAGGCAGAAAAGACCATGAGATTTATCTCCAATTAACCACCAAAAAGCCAAAAGTAGAGGTGTGGCACAAGTGATAGAACATTAGCCTTGAGTAATATCCAGAGTACAAGTCCCAGTACTGGCCATTCTTTTGATCAGCACTTTTTCCATGGGACCTCAGCACATATTAGAAAAAAAAGTTTTGAAATTAATTACAAGAATTTTTAGGACCGGCAACCTATGAAAGTGTATGGTAACTTCCTCATACTACATAGACTTATACTAAATACTATTTCCTAAGTTTAAGCAAAGTATTTTTCAAAGAGAATCCTTGCAGGCCATTGCTTTATAGATACACCCTTTGGAAAATCCTGCCAAGGATGCTACTATTTAAAAAATAAGTATGGGTGGAAGGAAAGGAGGAATAAGCCTTCTGACCCTTTGAAGCTGCTTTGATCCATAGCTTCCCAAAATTCCCTTTCCTCAAGTTCCTTGAGGTTTGTTCTGGTGATATTTCTGCTCCTCAGAAAAACGGGATACAGGTGTATTACTGTGGTTTACCGGGATGTTTTGAAAGATTAAATAATCCAAAGCCTGGTTAACTCCATCCCCATAGGTCTACTGGAATCTCCCCATACAAAGTTCACAGAATTCCTCCCAAGCTCACCAGAAGGATCACTTTCTAACCTGCACATCACTGACAGGGCAGAGAGGATACCATTCACTTTTTTTTCTTTTTTCAGTCATGCGGCTTGAACTCAAGGTCTGGGCACTGTTCCTGAGCTCTTTCACTCAAAGCTAGCACTCTACCACTCTGAGCCACAGTGCCACTTCCATCATTCACCATTTGTAACACTCAACATTTCCAATTATCCACCAGACACCTCAACTTGACATCTTCCCAGGCACTAGCTTTGGTTCCAACACTAACATCTTCGTCTCCATTCTCAACTACATCTCAGTCTCCACATGGTCACCACAGCTGGAAAGCATGGGGTGGTGGGGGAGATCTCTCTCCAAACTGCAATACACATCTGCAACTACCTTCTAGATCTAAGCAGGACCTTCCCCCAGTCTCTCCAACGTAACTTGCTCTTCTCCACTCCCAATCCCACAGACTGCACACCTAATGGACTCTATACCATCTTCCTCACTCTTTACATCACCCTATCTAAGCAAACTGATACTTCCCTCAGTTTTACAACAGCTTCATGTCATGTCCCCAGTGAGCTATATGGCCAACCTATGAAAACCAGCCCAGGGGCTGGGAAGGTGGCTCAATAGTAGAGCACTTGCCTTGCATGCATGAGGCCCTGGGTTCGATTCCTCAGCACCACATAAGCAAAAAGAAAAAAGCCGGAAGTGGTGCTGTGGCTCAAGTGG